CTTGTTAATAAAATACTTTCTATTCATCCATTCAAGTTCAAATACAATTTTTTAAACTTGTAGAGGATGATACTTGGCTTTAATAAAGTTTTTTCATATATTAATTCATTCATTAAATTAAAAAAATGAAGAAATAGTAACAAACAAAAATAATAGTCCAACAGCATATATAGAAGGGAAAATCGATCGTTGTGTCCGTGTAGCGCAATGGATAGCGTGTTGAACTTTTAATTCAAAGATCATGGGTTCGAATCTCACCTGGGATGGCCTAATTTCTGAGAATGTGCTTTCGTTTTTACTGTAATATTTTATTAGAATAATTAAATTTAATAAAGCAATAAATAGTAACACACACACACACAAACAAAAAATCCTAGTCCAACACCATATATAGAAAGTAAAATGGAAATTGCAAGGAAAATCGCTTCCTATTTTGTTACTTAATATTGTGATTCTATCATATGTATATACATATTTATATTAATTGTAACTATTTATTGAAAAGTTACTAAAATAAAAAATTTTCTTTGTTGATCTCAGTAGGTATTGACTTATAAAATTTTTTTTATATTACTTGTTATTTGTAATTTCTTTTTGAACTCATACTGTACCATTTCTCAGTTGAAAATTAATGAATTATTCTTACCGGGGGGAGGGGGGGTACTACCTCTGTCCATCTAACTTCGGACCGACCCTCATAGTACTTGTATGCAACATTGCACTTGTTGACACAGACTATACTCTTCATATTGGTTTTTATATTGAATTTCATGCAAAGTTCTATGTTTTTCCTGCATATGGATTTTTATTCATAATTGACTGTAAAACTAGCAATACATCGTCATGTTTAACTATTTTTGAACGTTCTTGTAAAACCTCAAAGTCATCATAAATGTAGATTTGTCCAAACTGTGGTTTTTTGCTCCATTCTGAGGTAAAAAAAAGTTTAGTTGCTTTTACATAAAGAGAGAGAGAAAATTTGTCAGACTCATATAATTTGGTTACTATACATTATGTGTCTGACTTTTACGTGATTATATAATAAAAAACTCACAATTCTTTTAAAGTAATGGCTAAAAACTTAAAACTGAAAAAAGTTTAGAGAAGTTTTTAGAATTAAAGGAAAATTAAGGAAAAAAATGCGTGTAATTAAAAGAAATTATACGCACTTTAAGGAAGATGTGAAAATAAATAGCTTTCATAAACATGAAAAGAAAAATTATAAAATAGTGAAAAATATTTTTTTTTTTTTTTTGTTTCTCTTGTAATTCAAGAATCAAACAGGAGGGAAAGGCATTTGTTAAAATAAAAGCTATGTTTGTCGGCTCCGATGCACAACTGGAGTTTACTCCTTAATTTTACGGTTGTCTTTGATTATATAGCAGACAAATAGGGTAAATAAAGGAATCCCATATAATACTGAAAGTATTACATGAGAATATTATAAGAGAATATATGACAGTATTATATATTAACTCGTTAAATATATATATATATATACCTATAGTCTAATTCTTTACAAAGATATATATATATATATATATGTAATATATATCAGTTATGTTATATAAATATATGTTACTCATAGCATATGAGTACCTTGATAAGAAGGTTGATTTACTTTACTATATATTAAAATATTACTTTGGATATTAATTACATTAATATTCTCTCGCGTCATTATTAATCACTGTGACAAGAGGCTTGTGGTAATTTAAGTATGATACGTGAACGTCGGTCGTAACATGGTTTATGAATCGTGAAAACGCCGCATCATTAGTTGTACCATACCTATTCATCCCCAGTGCTCTACCAGAAACAAAATCCAAATTAAGCTCTGATTTTAAAAATTGTACTAATCTCAATCCTTCATCTTTAGTGAAATCAATATTGAAATCGCCGTCAAGTATGAGTGGATGTACATAATATTGTTTCTTCAGTAGTTTAGAATAACCTTCCGTATATGTATGTTAAAGCTCACATTCATTATTTTATAAATATATATATATATATATATATATATATATACTTAGAATTTAAAATAATAAAATAGATTTGATTTCAAATCCTCATTATGTACTTTCATTATATAAGGAAAACATTCAAAATGATAGAAACTTTTCAACATCTGGTTCTTTCAGTTGTTTCTTTCCTTACTTCGTAAATTAAGAGAATGGTTGACAACGCAAGCGGAAGTAATTTTTATGGAAAATTGGAAAAGTATCTGATGTAAAATTTACTATAAGAAACTAGCACATATATTAATATATAATAGCACATATATAATCCCTTTCTCTTGGGTTTTGTAATTTTACATTTAAATATTAATAATTATTTTCCAATTTCTGGTGACAACCGTTTGCTTAAGAAATGGCATTAAAACAAAAATCTTGTTTATTGAAAGTGGCAAGTAAAAACAATGAAAGATCAAATGTGTCCTAAAAAAGACAAGTATTAATGGATTTTCTTAGAGTAAATATAAGGCTAAATTTAAAGAATAATTATTATTGTGTTTTAAATAACAGTTTTAAATTTATCACTTTTTTATTAAAATGTACGCTGAAAGAACGGAAAGTGGCGGGGCCTATTCAAAGTACAGAACGTGACCTGTGAACTCGAATCCCAGTAACACGATCACTACAGAAATGGAGTACTCCTTCGCACATACTGTTACTGGCTTATTAAGTTACCTCTAAAGTACTCCAGTACCTGCTTTCTTCCGACAGTAATTTGGCGCATGCGCTGAACACAGCGTAACTCATTTTTTTAAATGCTTGTACAAAGTTTACTTACTCATAGTATTTCCATATCGGTTGCTTTATATGAAAATTGATATTCTTAAGGAGGAAACTCCAATAAATATTTTTCAAACATTTGAATTTTTACTCGTATGTAAAAACCGTGATAAAAGTATTTTGCAGTAAAATTGAAATATTGTTGAATCTGAATTATTTACAATAAAAATAAAAATCTTTGACACATTAGTTTCGATTTATACAACCTTAAAAATAATAATCTTAAATTTTGAAGAAGAAAAATGCTTTTTTCTACAAAAAAAAACAAAAAAAAAATATTTAAAAAATTTAGTTAAATGAAGGAAAACAGTTATTTTTGTTCTAAGAAGGAAATTTTTTAACACATCTTTGAAATTTTTACGTATAAATTCTACTCTAATGAAAGCGGTAAACATATAGAAAATTTAGTATCGATCAACTAACCTGCCTAAAAAAGGAATTTTTTTTTAGTGATTTATAATTCGTTTCACTACGTAGTATGTAAAATTGGTTAGAACAGCTTACAGATGAACAACATGAACGCTATTAGAATATAAAATTGAATTTTGAAATAATTATTTAGTATAAGTTGTAGTTCATTAAAAAATCTACTTAACAAACACAATTTCAAGAATTTGCTAATATCTAATAAAATTTATATTCTTTCTTCCTTGTTCCCACTGACATATCTCCTAAGTCTTAAGGAGCTATAAATTTGCAGTTGATACTTTTTTGTAATACAAGATACAATATAAAGTTTAAATAGATCAGACATTATTCTCCTTTAAGCTCAACTTTTTAATTAACTTTCAAATCCATTATATTAATGGATTTCTTATTTTTCTATCTATAGAATGGGGAACGTCTTTAACTGGTTTCAACTTATCTGATAGCTTCTGAACTACAACAGGATAGGAACAAATGAGGATGCTTTCTAACGTTATTGGTTTTTTACACAGACTCACATAGCAAATATATATAGCAACAAAACAAACACATTCGAAAAGACTGAAAAGTATAAAAGCGTTCTTTCTTCCTTCTCCTTCTAAAGATCTCAGCTTTTATACCTTTTCCAACAGTGAGAATTTCGAATCTTTTCCAGTCATACGATTTCAGGGTTATAATACACTGATTGGTCAAATTCGATTGCTGACGCAATATTGAATAATTTCACCATGAAATGAGCCCATGGGGAAATATTTAAGAAGATAAAGTTGTGGTTAAAATGGTGTTTTCCATCAGTAGAGTAAAAGAAAAAATTAAGTATCACGCATTAGATGTTTCAAGACTGTCTTAAATGAAAGAAAATCCCTTGAAAGAAAGTTTAAAAATTGAGAATTATTACACATATATATCTATATATTTATATATATATATATACATAGTATAATAAAATAAAAGAATAAGTGAGAAAGTTGTAATATACCTACAAGGCCAAAAGAGAAAGAAATTGGATTCAAAGAAACATAACAATTCAAGACACCAAAAGAGTCTTTGGACTAAAAGGGAGACCTATTATAAATTGTAAAGCTCTTGCTGAATTAGGCCAGCGTAATTAGGCTTAAGCAATGCTTTATGGTACCACCTTCCCCGTGCAGCAGAAATTTTCGAGATAATAGAAAAAACAGAGCCATGTTGAAAAATTAGGCCTACATCTAATACATGTGGATGAAACACCAAACAGTAAAATAAAATGTTTAAAAAGGTTTCTAATGGCTCTAAGGTATATATATATATATATATATATATATATATATATATATATATATATTTATATTCATCTTAAAATTAAGTAATATGAAGCATTTTTAAGAATTTCAAACCAATACTTGAATTTATAAAAAATACAATTCTACCCTTAAACATATATGATGTGACTGATATTTTTAACTCATCGATCTGAAAAAGAAGTTTTCTTTGTTAGCATACGGGCATAAAAATGAAATCTTTTCGTCAAATTTGCAGGTATAGAGAAAATCGAAAATATTCGCCCGTCTAGAACAAAGGAATGTGGCTGGAAACAGGTATTCTAAGATCGATGTTGAGGGAAACCACGTGTGCAAACACTGCACGTGATCAATAACTAGAGCATCCTTTGCGGATTACAGCTCTAGAATAAAAGAGGGATTAATCAAGAATGCAAAGAAAATAAGCGGACTTAACTCTCCTCTCTCGTGCAAAAATACAATCAATTTTATCGTCCGGCCACTTCAACAAAAAGAAAATTACAAATTCCGGATGGGCTATAAAAAATTGCATTTGAATAAATATCTTTTCCGCTCTTGTGATGTTTCTTCGTCAGAGATTGAACGTTTGCGTGTTTTTTATCAAAAGGTATCAGACTCTGGAAGGAAAAGCTCATAGCCTCGTAAGTGATGAATATAACAAAAATGATGGAATACTAAATTGAAAATTATTTTCAGTTTTGTTACGTAAATGTACTTTATTAATAAATCTGGATTTCCTTTGTGCTTTGAAAGGGGCGTTTTCGT